AACTTGATAATCGACTACATAATATAAATGTAAAGTTTTTTTTTCCTTTCTTCTATTTGCTTTCAAATATTTTCTTTCCTTTTTCGTAATCGTTCCTTTGTTATTTGAAATATGAAATGAAATCAATATCGTTCATTTACAATTCATGATTATTTTTTGTTTAGGATAAATTTGGTAGTTTGGAAAGACTTAAAAATAAGATAAATGATGCTGATGAAAGAAATCTTGATATGGAAAAAATTACTGAAAAACAGAACATTCTTCATACAATCGAAGAAGCTTTGGATCGTCTCAAGGTGAAAATTGAATGAATAATAATATCTATGTTGGAGTGAACAAAATTAATGAAATTGGTTCATTTCTCATTTCATTCATTACATTTATTCGGTTGCAGGATGATCGACAAATAATAGAGAAGCGAGTCAATGATATGCATGCTGCAGAAAAAATGCATGAAGATGGGAATCATTTGTATGACGAATTGAACGCATTGATTAAGGAAGGTCAAGAAGTGTTAAATGATGCTGAAGCAGTTCCAACGATATATACTACTATATTGGATGCATTCATGAGCCCTCTTGAAGCGGCAGCAGAATTACTTAAGAGAATGGCGGAAAATGAAGAAATGGCTATGCGTTTAAAAGCAACTGTTAAGGATGCAAGAACACTTCAAACCATTTTGTCACATCATGCCAATCTTTGGTTACAGTTTGTTGATGAACGAGATAATGCAACAGATCAGCTTGAAACAAAACGAAAACCACTTGATGAAATTGGAAATAAGCATATTAGATCCTATGAACAAGTGGTTGATGATCTCGATAAACTTAAGGTTTATATGAAATTTTCAATCTTATTTTACTACCAAATTGCTTAGTTTTCTTTTTCTCAACTATCTAAGCTATATATGTATTTCAGAAAGCAGCTGAGGAACTGAATGACTTACGTAATTTGATGTCAAAATTACAAAGTCTTTCTGAACAATTACACCCACTGGAAACTGCATATGCAGATGTTCGTTTCTATGATGTGGATGTTGAGCAAACACAGCAGCAGTATGAAAATCTCATATGTTTAATGAATAGGGAATTACATGATGAAAATATTCTGAATGAATCTACTCAACAATTGGCTCGAGAATTAGGATATCTTAATAGCAAGCTTTCGATGGAATCAGTTGTTCGTGAACAACTTGAGGAGGTGTGTTATTGATACATTATTTTTACCAAATTTTAATTTTATCCCTTTGAAGTTGAGTATATATGAATCCAAAAAAAATAACTATTTTCATTTTTCATTTCAGATACTAAATCATCAATTGCCTCCGTTGCAAGCCCAACTGCAGTTTCTTCAAACAAAAGACGATGAAGCAAAACGAATTCGTATCCATGTTAATCGTGTATCTCAACTGTCAATTGAAACGTTAGCAGAACAACTGAATCATATTTGCTTGCTTGTAAACGAACAACTGGAGAGTCTTGCAAAAGTAGAAAGGCAAGAAAAGGCAGTAATTATTAAGATGGAATTAGAAAAGCTGCGTATCGGACCATATGATGAAGAAGGATTGGTAAAGGTTGAAGAACAATTACAGCAGCTTCCTGCAGAAGATAAGGATACGCAAATATTGGCTGTAGAGGTGCAAAAATTACGGGCAAATAAAATTGAGCGTGATGCACTTGAAAAAGAAATAGAATTGAAATTAGCCAAATTACTCAATCGCATGAATGTGATACGGACAGATTTGAGCCTAATCATGGAAGAAGAAGAATCGGAAAAACGGATAACGAAAAAGGATGAAAAATTTCCAGCATTACTTTTATTAAACGAAATTGTTGGACAGATTTATAAATTAGAATCAGCATTAAATGAAACAGTTGATGAAATTCTGCCACCAATGAATGAGCTTATTTTTCAATCACATCTAGGGAGCATCAATCTTCCATCTCTTCAATCTGAATTTGAAAATACACAAAATTTTGCTGAGAAATGCAAGGTAAATTTGCTTCCTTAAATCAAAATAAGTAATGTTTATGAACTATTTTTCATACATCTTGTAATATCATCATTTTTATAATCTATAAATCATTAATAAAATCATCTTTTGCAGAGGAAGTTGGCGGAAAAAGAACAAATGAGGATGGTA